TATATATATATACACACACACACACATTTTCCCAATTTTTAGTACATAATTATCCGAGCCCTAGTTATAACATTCTAGGACATGGGGGCCCAAGAAGATTATTTTCACCAATGGACATAAAGTACGAAAATTCAACTTCCATGGGAAAAAAAAAGGTTTCAGTACTGCAAATTCAAATATGGATTATTTCAGTTCACCAATGTAGAAAAAAGAATGATGAAAGCATAAAGATATTGAAATTTTGAATTTGTGGCAATTGGATATTTTAGAGTACCCCTGAACCTATTTTAGAGTACCCCTAGAGTATTATATTTTCAATTGTTTTTGAAAAACTGGGTCACAATTTTGGGGATTTTTGGATATAGTGAAGCAAAAATGTTAGTTAGCAGAGACTTACTATTATCAAAGTTGACTGTATCTTCTATTGGAATATTAAAAGTTTCAGACCTTTTTTCTTTTTTAACAGATATATTTTATACCATTTTTTAGTAATTTATTTTACCTTCATGATTTGACCTTTCTGGGATATTATTTACAAATTGCTTGGTTTTAAAAAGAGTTACCAAAGGTGTTACAATAAGTTCTTGAAGATTGAAATAATAAAATTTGGAAAACATTAAATTAATAATTAAAAGTTATGAAGAGTCATAATTTGTTTATTAATTATATTTCATTTTTAATTTAATTTAATTACTTTTTATGTTTTTGACATTGTATTCTTTGAATAGACCTGATTATAACAACTTGTGTAAATATTTTTTAGATAAAATTATTGAAAAGGCCCCAACAAGAGCCAAAAACATTAAAAGAAAATACTGAAAAATAATACACATTTTTTAAAAAAGGCTGAATCTTTTAACATTCTTATAAAAAGCATAGAAAATCCTTACAACCGCACATATAATGAAGAATGGTTCAAAAGGCTTTGTCAGTGAAAGTAATAGAACCATTTAGTTATTTGCCAATATTTTGCAAAATATATTCCCATCATCAGGGCTATAATGCACAAAATAAAAAAAATAACGTGTTAATTACTCAATCTTATTCTTTCTTGGTTAATTAACATGTTATTGTCTAGCTTTTTTTTATCGTGTAGTGTATGATATATCATACAGTATATGGAAATATGATGGAAATATATTTTCCTAAATTTTGACTCACAACTAAATAATTTTATTACATTACATTGACTAAGACGGATGAACCAACCTTTTATATCACTAACTGCAAAATATTTTGATATGTTTGTATAAGAATACTTCGATTTTTCTGTAGTGGCCGATGACATTAGGTCATTGTTACACCTCCTGCCTTATAAAATGAATCTTTTTGACGGTGGAAAGTACATTTCTGACGCCACGAGCCTCGTTGAGAACGTTCGCGAATTAATTAGTAAGATTCATTTTATAAGGAAGTGTAACAATGACCATCGGCCTCTACAGAAAGATGGGAGTACAGGGCGCGCGCTGCGTCTCACCTGGAAGGCGGGCGTCCGCTCGGAGCCCGTGCCCGACCACACGTGGCCCATGAGCTCGCCCTGCCCCGCGAAGAAGACGAAGGGCCGCACGCCCACGCCCAGCACCGTCAGCTCCAACCCGGCGGTGGCCGGCTCCTCGTCGCCCGCGCCCTCCTCCTCGCCCGCGCCCGACGACACGAACGAGCCCAGCCCGCCCGCGAAGATGCCCAGCTGCAACACGCGCACACGCACACTCTATCACACAACAGCGAGAGGAGACGGTTCTTGCGAAGCGAGAAGCACTTCAGGGTTCACGCTGTTTTAGGGCATAAGCGACGCTAGTAAGATTGCGACTAACCATCACGTGACAGACCTTGAAGTTTTAATTACTTACCTTAGCAGGGGCGCTCAGAGAAAGCAAGGGGCCTAGGGCAGTACATTCATGGAGGCCACTTGTTTCCAACAAAAGTTCTCCTTATCTATTATTACCATTAATTATTAATATATTTTAAAGTGAATAATATTTCAACTGCAGCTTTTTAGGTTTGTTGTTGTTTAAACAAAAGTATTGAAGGAAATACATTTTGTGCAAATTTTTGGGGCCCCACTTAAGTGGGGGCCTTGGGTCCCCATTTGTCCCAGCTACCCCTTCTTCTAGACGCCTCGGTACCTTAGGCCTAAGGTACGACCTTCCCCCTACTTAAATAGTAATTACACGTATGTTACAAACAGCGAATTCGCCACCTATAAACAGAAACAGTCGTGGTTTTCCTAAGGTGATAAATCTTATTTTCGCTGTGGCGGCAGGTAGAGAATTCTATTAGTGGTGCCAGTTAGAGATGTGTCATCGATAACTAAAGATCGATGTAATCAACTGATGTTCAAAATTAAAACATCGATCAAAATTCATCCACTAATCGATGTTTTGAAGCTAATTTAGTAATTTGGAAAATAAAATTCGTGGTCAACAAAATTTCATTTTACAGTGGCGTGTTTATTAATTTATAATTAAGATTAAACAGAAAACCCACTAAAAATAATAAGAACTAATAAAATATTCAGCCTGAAATCTTGATCCCTCACAGTAATCTCAATAGATCACCGCTTACTGAGTTGACTGAAGATGGATACTACGAGAAGAAGAGGCCTTACGCCCACGGCGTTACATGTATAATGCGAAATACGACATCGGGGTCATCCTGAGCGACAGTTAGCCTGCTCGATGAAGATAGTGTCATTAGTGCACTCTACGGAACAGAAGGTGAACCACTGTGCCAGTTCGATTTTGGCACCGTCTCATCCGTAAGGGGCGTATACAAACCGACCCAGCGTGCTTTATACAGCGTTAAATGGGCAGAGACAACCAATCCGTCGGTGGCTCAGTGGTACAGATACCATTGCTGCCCTGGGCGTTAGTAGAGAGTATTGATATAGCACCGAAGGATTAAACGCAAGTTCAAATGAAATGCTATAAAGAAAATATTTTGAAGAAACTATATTTTATTCATATATTTGTGATGAAAATGTTATTATCCTTCCCCTTCGTTGGGGTGTCATAGCACACTGGTATTACACACATGGCATGGCACACTACAAGCCGCCACCGTAGTTTCGTATGCGAGGGAGTTAAAATTAGACATTGTAAACATCAACTCGGGCAAGAATTAACGAAAAATGTTCGAAAACTAACAGGCAAAAAAATTGCGAAAAAGAAGTTGAAATCGTATCGTGTTAAGTTATATCTTTATGTTCATAACAAAATCTGAATGCTTTGACATCGCGCAGGGCTAGTCAATCTATATCTTATTGCATGATGAAGATTTTTTGTTTACACTAGATGCGTACCGTTGTTCAAATACCCCATTATCTAGACTTTGATACATTATGTAACGTCTCCGTTCAATTCTTGAAAAGCTTTTTTGTTGTAATGCATAAAGAAATGTCGCAATTGCTAAAGCCCATTTGAACATTGTTCAATACAACCGTACAACGTCGTCAGTCACGGGTTCAATGGAGTTTAAGGGTGTCACCTTACGCCCTGCGGTAAAACTCCCTATTAACACACTCTTGAGCCTCTGTGCATGCGCGAACCCCCACGTTACGCCGATAGCGCCTAATCCGATTCCACCAGAATATGTGAATAATTAGCGACTGCAATTAACGATCATGTATTTGTATCCGGTATTTTGATCCAAGTAGAACGTAGACCAGATGGACCGACAGCCTGCGGATAGCAGCAGGTCCACTTTGGTCTAGACTGGCACGCGACAGAGGAGGTTGGACGCAGCTGAAATGGCCATGTGCAATGTCTGTCGTTAACTACATGTTCATAAAATTAGTGGTGTTGAAAAGTCTCTTGAAGTGTTTCTTGAATATAATCCTATCTATATAGTATTATCTGAGAAGTGTTTTTAGTGGTTGCTGAATTCTTGTTTGCAGGATCGTGTCAGAATCAGGAAACCAATTTGTTGTATTGGGGGACCAATAACAACGTAGGGGAACCAATTTTTTTTTCACCGCGCGTGAAGCATGAAAGATTGGTCGTTAATTGGGACCTATATAGGCTATGATATAATAATAATAATAATAATAATAATAATAATAATAATAATAATAATAATAATAATAATAATAAGCCTGCTCTATGTTGCGGCAGCCGCAAGGAGGCTGCAGGTACGAGTCTGCGTAGGCATGGTCGTATTTGTGATTGTCCCTTCACTCTTCATTATCACCCTATCACCTCATTATTCATAATGCAAGGTGTAACAACCTTGCCTCAATCCTCTTAAGAGGGATACAGCCGGAAAAAGCTTAATTACACACGTTAATCTCTCTGGGGCTGACTGGGAAGATACCGTGATACTGTCATAAACGGCTGATACACTTATAATAATAATAATAATAATAATAATAATAGTGATAATAATAATGATGATGATAATAATAATGATAATGATAATGATGATGAGAGAGTGGTATGAGTGGATGAGGCTGACCGAGAAGAGCGTGTTGGTGGCGCCGTGTCGCTCGAGGCGCACGTCGACGGCGCCGCGCTTGAGCAGGCCGCCGCTGGTCTCCTGGACGGTGCTGAGCGACGCGTTGGCGCCGGGTCCGCGTGCGAAGCGGCGCGTCAGGGCGGTGGAGACGCCGCGCAGCGCGTGCGCGTCCCAGTTGCCCCGCACGCCCCGCGCCTCGGGCCGCTGCAGCGCCGCCTGCGCCGCCGCCGCCAGCGCCGGCGCCTCCTCGCCCAGCTGGCGCAGCCGCTGCCACAGGTAGCGCTTCACCTGCCACACACATGGCACACACGCAATTGGCGTGGGTAGCGCTTCACCTGCCGCACTCACAACGCGTACGTCAGAAGCGCAAAACGCTATCCTCATTCATTCATTCATTCATTCATTCTCTTTTCATTGACGCTTGGCGAAGCAATTGGCGTGGGTAGCGCTTCATCTGCCACACACATGGCGCACACGCAATTGGCGTGGGTAGCGCTTCACCTGCCGCACTCACGACGCGTACGTCAGAAGCACAAAACGCTATCCTCATTCATTCATTCATTCTTTTTTCATTGACGCTTGGCGAAGCAATTGGCGTGGGTAGCGCTTCCCCTGCCACACACATGGCGCACACGCAATTAGCGTGGGTAGCGCTTCACCTGCCGCACTGACGACGCGTACGTCAGAAGCGCAAAACGCTATCCTCATTCATTCATTCATTCATTCTTTTCATTGACGCTTGGCGAAGCAATTGGCGTGGGTAGCGCTTCACCTGCCACACACATGGCGCACACGCAAATGGCATGGGTAGCGCTTCACCTGCCGCACACGCAATTGGCATGGGTAGCGCTTCACCTGCCGCACTCACGACGCGTACGTCAGAAGCGCAAAACGCTATCCTCATTCATTCATTCATTCATTCATTATCTTTCCGTCGACACTTGGCGAAGCAATTAGCATAGGTAACACTTCACTTCCCACGCAGCACGACACAAAGAGTTAAAACACTCTTCACGAGCAAATTAATCAATTCATTCATTCATCTGTTACAAGTTAAAGCACAGACATTAATTTGCGTAGCAAATACACTTTCCCGCAGTCCCTTGTTGTTTTATTTAGTCACTTGTTCGTTCATTCATTCATTAATACACATTATTGATTGTCAGCTGACGCAGCCGCTGCCACAGGTAGCGCATCATTTGAAACGTACCAATGCCACAGACAAGACAAGACTTCAAAAATACTCTTTTGGAGCACGTTCATTCATTTTCTTATTTGCCTTTCATTAAATCGTCATAACTCCATTGACACAACGCAAAACCACAGGTAGCACACTACCTAAGACGCATCAAGAGGCAAATAACGAACTAATTCACGATCCTTGAACAATTTATCCATTCATTCATTCCTAGATTCTATCAATTGCGAGCCCCTTTCAGAAACCATGTCACTTGCCTACCACCAACAAACAAACATAAGATTATGTGGAAAATACATTATCATAGAGACCGAAAAATTAGTGTTTCATTTAGTCAACGTACTATCATTTATTTAGCCATACTCTGTCAATTGGCAGCAGCAGCCGCTGCTACTGATAGCATTTCACCTACCACCAAACATCTCTTAAGCATGCAATATCTTGTGGAGGCCATTCATTCACCCATACTTTTTCAACTGCTACCTGGCAGGGTTATCTTACCCTTTTATGTGGGAGGTAGAGAGAGGGCGTGGGGCATGGGTGTTGCATTGGGTCTCACTTGGTGTACGGAGTCGTAGGCAGGTCGTAAAGAGAGAGTGAAAGAGTTGTTCAATTCATTCCCTGAGTCGTAGGCAGAGCCAGAGAGAAGGAATGGGTATCTTGCCTTGTAGCGGAAGCAGGGCGAGAGAGAGAGAGAGAGAGAGAGGGGGGGGAGGGGGCTCACCTCGAAGGCGGAGTCGTTGTAAGCGGGCCCGGCGGTGGCCATGAGCTCGGCCAGCCTGTCGGGCGGCGGGTGCGCCTCCAGCAGCAGGTCGAGCGCGAGCGTCCTGGCGCTGGAGTCGTGGCGGCGGCGCCGCTGCGCGAACACCCTCCAGGCCGCGCGCTGCGCCTCGTCGCTGGCCCAGCCGTCCTCGCGAGGCAGCGCCCGCGCCGCGCGCAGCGCCGCCGCCGCCACGCGCCCCGACCCGCCCTCGGCCAGCGCCAGCAGCTCGCGCAGCGCCGCGGGCGACGCCAGGTTGCGCAGCGCGCGCAGCACCCGCAGCCGGCACGCGTCGTCCGCGCAGCGCCCCAGCGCCGCCATCAGCGACGCCTCCGCCTCCCCGATCACCTGAGCACACGCACGCCGACTCGCTCACTTCCTCGCGACAAATGACGCCTCTGCCATCACTTATGGATACGGTTCGATATGTTTGGCTAGTTGATTCTGAATTTCTGAGAAGTGGGGGTGACCACTTGACGTCGAGCTAGCACCCCCAATTGGGATGTGTTTTTTATTGTTTATAGTTGAGTACAAAATATTTTTTTGTGGTACAAAATGTGTACAAAATTATAGGCTAGTTAATTTTGAATTTCTAACAAGTGGCTTGACGGAGTTTCGAAGATGATGATTCACGGGTTCCTTCTACACTGTTGGCGCCGCACGGTGAGCGCCAAGACTTTCGCTTTATTTGCATTCTTCATTTACGAAAAAGGACCGAGTTCTGGCTGTCGAGTCCTGGCTGTTGCGAACGTCATTCAAATTACTGTCCAGTATCAGTAAAGGACGGTGTGTCCTCCGTTTTATTTAATTAATATTTACATATGTTGCGCCACCTTGATCGTCTGCCACAAACGTATCTTCAAACAACTTTATAGTGCCAGAAAAAGGTTTTCTGGTCATAACCACTTACTCATATTACTTCGGTGCTCCGAAAATAGACATTAAACTTTACGTTTGGTCTTTAGCCCGCTTCGATTATGGAAAGACACTTCCATTTCAAGAGAGCATCTTAGGGCATTTAATAGAAAAAATTGTAAAATCATCAAAGGAAATATATTTGCTTACTGAAGTGGAAATAGTTTTTGCTCAAGAAAGTTGAATTCAATTGAATAATGCCTTATTTTACGAGGCGGGGCTCATGCCATCAGGCTTGCTCTTTCGCCTAGTCCCCCAAATACCGCTACGCTCGTTTCGACATCTAGGGGAGGAAGGCGACATACTTGGGTGACGACATAATATTTTAGCTCAAAGGCTTCTTTTAGGCTTGAAGATGTTTTACATGCAGTAGAACTACAAAACGGGGCAGCCAGCTTTATTTCCCCTCCGTAGGAAGACGCACGAAGGAATTTTCGCCCTTAAAAATCCACCGCTTTGATCGGAATCGAACACGCGAACTTGGGTATAAGGGTCCGAGGCCGGCCAAGAGCGCGCCGGGACTCACCTTGTGGTGGCGGTGCGCCGGGTGCGCGCGCAGGCGGTTGGCCAGCGCCGCCGCCGTCAGCAGCAGCGTCTCCTCCATCTTGGCGCTGTGGCCCGGCAGCTCGCTGCGCCGCAGGATATCTGCCACAACGACACACAAGCGACAATGCCTCCCACGTCGACTGCTGGTAGAGGTTTGTTTCGTAACACTACTGGTTTATACACAAAACATATGGATGAAAAGCCGCACTTAGACCTGATTCACACGCTAGTTTTGGAAGAGCGATTCCGACATTTTAAGGTCCCTTCACACAGCCTCTCAGGAGCGCTTCCGAGGGACGCGTTTGCTGGTAAAACAATGGTTTAAATCGAGGCATTCACACGGCCGGCGCAGAAGCGCTTCTGTGGTGGTTAATGGCGCACTCTCGCCACCAGGAGCGTCGGCGCGCATCCACGCCACCGCGAGCAGAACACAGTTCTAAATGATAGCCTTCACACTAGGGCTCTCGGAAGCGTCACTGAGCTTATGTTGGCTCCCACGCGGGCCTGGCGCTCAAAGGGCAACTCACGAATCCTTACTGTCTCACGCTCAGTGATGCTGGTCGATGGCTGTGTGAAGGGTCCCAGCGCTTATCGATGGCGCTGCCGAGTGAATCCGTGAAAAACCGACTAAAGCTCCGGAATCGTTAGTCAAAAGAAAACGTGAAAATCGAGTGCGTTAAGAATTTGAACGGACGCCGTCCGCTAAAGACAGTGCAGACAAATGAGTTGCAGCTGCAGCTGGTGTATGAAGCAGCCGGAAAGCTGAGAGGGAGAGGGAGAGGGAGGGGCTCACCCTTGGCGACGTGCGGCAGCGGGTGCACGCCGAAGGAGAGCGCCCACAGGTAGCGCTCGGCGGCGTCCAGGTCGTCGTCGGCGTCCAGGCGCAGCACCTTCATGGCGGCCTCGTGCGCAGCCGCCGTCTGCGCGGAGCCCAGCACATCGCACAGCTGCGGCCTGCGCACACACCCCTCCGTTGGCCCCGGCTCACAGCACTCGTACCTCTTAGCGCTTACACCACAGTGCACTCTCTTGGTGCTTTATCACATACTACATATACAGTATAGAGGAAGTTATGGAAAATGGCGATTTTTCAGCAGAAAAATCTAATTGTAGGTCCTGAAATGGTTGTTGCTAAGCGAATAATAAATTATCTGATCTAACGCGTTGCTTAGTCAGAATTCAGGTTTTATGAGCCTTGACATCGAAAAATTCGTTTACGTCTGTTTTTATTCTTGGGGGGTACTTAACAAGAAGTCTCAAGGGCATTGCAAAATGTTTTCAAAAATTTCTTGATATTTAATGAAAATTTGCAGATGGGTCAATTCTTTTAAAAGTGGCGAATGAAAGGGAAAGGTTGGGAATCCCTAGCATAGAGTACACTCTACAGCAAAGAGAATAATATAGTGTCGTCTAGCGCCTAGACTGCTAAAACAGGGATTCCCAAAGTTTTTTTCCATCGACCCCTTTCTATAGAATCGTTTACTTCACCGTTTACTTTAATTTGTTTTTCAATAACGTTCATCGTAAATAATCTTAACGCAAGAAATAATCTAAACGCATTTTCGTAAATACCTCCCTTTTAAATAATCGGAAAAGGTTTCGAATCTGAGGTAGAAGGTTTCGAATCATTGACGTAGAAACGTTACCAAATGCGTTTTTTAAGAAATGGCCGTAATATTTTGGTAGTGAGTATTGCGGAGAATGTTTTTTCCGCCATTCCTAACGTTTCGAATACGCATCTATAATTTGTCGAGTAAACACCCATACGATGAATGATGGATAAGAAAAAAGTAGAGAAGCGAATTATAATTCTATTTTTAGACGTTTGTAGCTTTATAAAAGACAATTAATTTTTTACTTCATAATTTCGTTGTAATCAATGCGATATTGGTCTTGATTATAAAGATACGTCGCTGGTTCATTATCGGCTATTGACCCAATGTTGACCTCTTGATGTGTTCATTGATTCCATTTAAAATTGAATGAACTTTCCAGGTGCAAATAACGACCCCGTTGGGAAACCCTGTTCAAGGGTGTAGTTTAGAATGTAGCATAGTATAGAGTACTCTCTAGGGTGTTTTGCCCCGAGCAGGGCTGTTCTAGTGGGCGATCCGCTTGACAAACGCCGGCTCAGCGCATATCTGCGGGCCACCGCCATTTCTTGCGCCAGCCAGACAAAAGGGAAGGAGAAGCGCTCGTGCGCGATCGGCTGTGTCAAATGAAAGGCGAGCAGTATGTGCACCATGGCGCGATTCTTGCATTTGATTTCCGCTTGCGTAGAGTTTAGAATAGGGCCTAAAATAGAGTTTAGTGTAGAGTCTAGAATAGTCTAGTGAAGAGTCTAGTCTAGTGATCAGTGCAGAGTGTGGTGTAGGGTGTAGCCTACGGTCTGGTGCAGACTCTAGTGTAGGGTCAAGTCTATAATCTAGCCTAGAGTCAATTGCAGAGTCTAGTCTAGAGATCAAAGCAGAGTCTAATGTAGAGTTAAGTCTACACTCTATTTGAAGGTTTAGACTAGTAGAGAATCTTGAGTCTGTTGGAGAGTAGACATCATCTAATGTACAGAATTTTCAGCCCAATGGTTACTCACAGGATGTCCCTGTTCTTGGAGCTCTTGAGCGCCTTGACGAGGTCCTCCCGCTTGGCGGCGCGCGCGGCGTGCAGGAGGCGCGTGAAGGCCTTGGCGGAGCGCAGGGACCCCACGGCGGAGGCCTCCAGCGCCGCGCGCTGCTCCTTCACCAGCTGGCTGAACTGCAACACGACGCCCACACACCGCTCACACTTTCAGGCATACCGTTTGCGTGCTGAGAAATCCGATGAAAGACTTAAAATTAATCCGCCAGGATGATCGCATTTCCGGCCGCACCCGCGTCGTCAGACCCAAAGTGAGTGCAGTGAGGAGACGCGTTGGGTGCTCCGAGTCGCCTCCGGGCCCCGGGCCCCACATACGATCCAGACTTCGTTGTGGCAGTGTCTGATACTCATGGGTAATTGAATAGGACGTTCTCCCGGCGAATTGTGAGTGGCGCTTTTCGAATCCGGCGCTAGCCTGGAAAGCAAGGAGCCTTGAGCTGACAGGATGGCCCAACCAAGCTCAGTTGGAGGGGCGTTCCTGAAGGACGCTGCGTGCCGGCGCATCCACCCTGACGGAGGTTTAGTGTTGCCCGAAGAAAAGTAGCTTAGAGCAGGGATGTCCAACTGGCAGCCCGCGATGCCATTTAGGCGAAGTGATATTAGTGAAACGTGAATGCCCCTTGCATCCCCGTCGGGCGAGAAGAGAGCACGCGCCCTGAAGAGGACAGGACCCCCTTAATGCAAAAATTGAAGTCTAGAGTTAAGGATTGTTTCTAGTAAATTTAGAAATTGTGTGTTTCACTGTGTTACGGAACGGCCTGATATCTCGCATCGCGTTCCATCCCTCTTCACCTCACGATTCTGATCAGCTGTGCAAACTGCATACACCAACAATACGGGGTCATCTGCGGAACGCCCGAGTAATGAAAATGTGGACCGCAACCATATTAAAGATTATAGTTGTGGCCCTTGAGGCAAGTTGGACACCCCTGGCTTAGAGCCATAAGGCCAACGTGCTCGCTCAGAGAAAACTAAAATCCTTCCTGGTATGAAACTAAAGCGTACTTGGACAGTTTCGCGAAGCTTGAGAAAAAATATTCGACCCCTCTCACACTGCCACATCGATGTCAATTAGGCGTCATTAAAGGATGAAAGGCGAAACCTCTCCTATATAAATCCCCCCCAAAAGAAATTAAAAAGTATAGTTATAAATGTATTTATAAATTAAAACATTTCTGATTTCTGAGTAATATTATCAGACAATCATATCAACGTTTTTCGTCAGTTCCTTAACGGAGTCTGTAACGCATGTGAAACTGTTGACAGGGAGGAGAGAAGCGTTAGGCTCCCACTTCATTCCGCCATTAGGCCTGTGTAAATCATGGCATGACGTCGTGCATTCACTGCACAGGCTTACTGGTGAACGAAGGCTGCAACCAAGCAGCTTCCAATGGTGGGAACTACGGTCTGAAGAAGGATGCGCTCACCAGATAGCATTAGTATGGAGCTCAGCGAGTAGCATTATAATTCGACTAATTTTTCCAATATGAGGTAGAACCGCTACTCCCTTAAGCCGGTATCGGAAGCGCGAAATCCAAATTTAAAATATCGATTATGTTTGTTTTGTAAAATTATCGATATTTTTAATAATCGATTTAATGAAGCCGGGCTCTTTTTAACGTAGATGTTTTATGCTAGATGCTTTTATGTTTTCGATGTTTTATTTTTGAAAGGAGAAAAGTGATATAATTATAAAAAAACTATTTATTTTCACATTTTAGTAAATTGAACATTCTTTTACACGGAGAATTAAAAGTTAGTCGAGTTTTTGTTATTATTTTATTAGTGTTTTGTAATCTTAATAGAAAATTAAGAAACCAGACCACTATCATATTAAGTAGCCCCTGGCCAACATTAATTATAGATGTTACAAAATTAGTTTTCAAACAATAGATGATTAAAATCATCGAGAAATTTGTGGCAACGTTTTATTGACATTGATGTTGTAATGTTAAATGTTCTTGTTTGGAACTGTGTGTTGTTGGCAATGTAATTACAAGATGCGCTTGTAGATGGTTATCATACTCACTTACGAAACCCATGTTCGCGTGGAAAAAGAACCCTGGCCGATGTCCGGTGAAATTAAATCCCTCCATCCTAACATGACGTCAAGTTCTCCCAACGAGCCATTTCTATTGAATATTGTGTTTCGTGAGCGGCAAGCCACCCAATTTTATTTCCTTTCCAGGGATAATTTTACTCGCTCCAAAGTGAATTCAAAACGTTTACCCTACCCCGCCCGCTTCCGGTAGCACTACACAATCGTCAGGCTGACCTCCGGATACGCGCTGGCCGCAGCGCTGGTCGGTGCGGAACGTCTTACAAGATGAGCCTGGGAAGGGCCGCGCAGCCAGCTCAGAGCTACCACGTTTCCAGACCACACGGTTCGGAGTTCATTAACCAAGTTTTCAATCTAGCAGGGGAAGGCAGAATCGCATCTAGGCACTCCAAGGAAAGCTCACAAGGCGTCCGCGCCAATTCCCTAGACTCACACCGCTGATGAGCTTCAAAGGAAGTCTGGGTCGAAACTTCGGGCGTGAAACCTGTGGGCAATGGTCGCCTTCCTGCTAGTACCCTTTCCGATAATAATTGTCATCTAGTTTCCACCATCTATTGAACAAATGCAAAGATGACCCGTTGATTTGCTTCTAGATATAAATGAAGCTTCACCATCGGTGTTCGTTTTGTTGAGCTGTTTTGCTAGATTCGATATGAGAGGCGAATTTAGTTCTTTTATCAGGATCACTATGAAATAAGGTCTATAGCCGGTTTGTGACTGTCAATGCCTTCTTTTACACAGGAACAAATATTGATTGTTATAAACATATTCGCCAACAAATGTGGCCAAAAAGGTGCGTTGCAGCCTGTATTCACAATGCAACAAAGTATATTAAAAAAGAAAGGGTACGATTCTGTAACTCAAGAAAACGTGTTTACATCACACTCCCCCCTCCGCCAACGTACGTTTTTCAATTTAAAAAGTCTTCAATTTTATTCTAGTATCGGTGTCAAGGAATCAAGATTACTGACACTAAATTGATTTTTCTGGTCGTGTTTAATTTCAAACTTATTATTTCTTCACATTCTTGCACTACAAAAGTGACATATTCATTCGGGTGGCATAGCAGGTGAATTTTAGCCATTCGGGATTTCATGACTCGGAGTGCGCAACCGAAGGCAGTGGTTTGTCTCTTAGACAAAAAGTGAATTTACATTTAATAATTATGCAGTGCTGCCGATAGTCACTACAAATCTCGTTTTCTCCCTAAGCAATCACATTGTGATTACATTTCTACTTACACTCGGACAGTCATCGACACACGAAGGTTCTCGCTCAAGAACTGTGATGTGCTTGACGTAATCCTTGCCTTCCCGCTTCTCCATTTCTTTGATGACGTCATTCAGGTTTGGAGCCACCACAGTCTGTATCTTGACCGGGCCTGAAACCACAATGAAATGGAATCTTATTAGTAGAGCCCTGAAATTTAGGCATTTATTTTACATATAATGGCATGCAGAAAGGGGATTATTATGGCTAAAGTAGGGATACAAAAGGCATAAACCCAATGAAAAGGCTCCGTTCAAAAAACATTATTTTAAAAATTTAATAAGTAAATTGATTCACACTTTCAAATTATAAAATGTATATTAGCACTTACTACGTGTACGGAAAATATATTTTCTTGAAATTTTGCTTGCACATGTCCACAGGGTATGATGAATATGAATTTGTTTTACTCGCGACGCTGTCTGTATGAAATGCTGTTGTGGGCTACCATTTATTTCCCCGCCCTTATGCATGTAACAAGAGTAAGTAGTGTATCGTGCGCCGAGAAACGAAGAATTTTTGAAAGAAAAATGTATTGCAAGGCCTTGGAAACGTAAAAGTGGATAAATCTTTTCCCTACATATAAATAATTCTTCCTCAAATACGTGGTGTAGCCAGAAGCCATGTTTTGGGGGTTCTTGATACAGAAAAATCGATTGTCGGCAGAACGTCTGTCCGTGTGAGGCCAACGCTAGCTCCTAAACCGTTCAGTCAATTTTTCCTGATCCACTGAACGAACCCGAGACTTCGGGAGTTTCAAACGAATATTTTCAGAGTTCTTTACATTAAGACTCAACAACATTTTCTCAAAAATGGCTCAAAATTCTTCAATTAAATTTTGTCTTCGAATAGCGTGGCGCTTGAGATAATGGAGCAGGTCTCAAGGTTGTAAAAATCCCTGAATTTTCGAAAATTGCAAAAGTGCAGATTTCTGGGCGGCTTACAACTACAATATTGAAGACAAAGATTTTTCCATAATGAAATCAGTTCTTTAAAGATAGATCTTGAAATAAATTTAAGTTCACTTTTAGAAAATATGAGTAATTTTCATGTATTTGCGCGAAATATAGGCAATTTTAATTTGTTTAAAACAATTTTTTTCTGAAAAATCACTCCACACTCCATATTTCCTCATATGTGTCAATGGACGGTAAAAAATATGGTTCCCATTTTTTCCCGTATCCCATTTTCGGAGAACTGGACGTTTTTTGGAAAATTGCAAAAAAGTTAACATTTTAAAACTATAAAATTAAGATAGAGATTTTCCCCATTAGACAAATTCTGTTGTAAAATATCAGCCCTTTAAAAAACAAGTCGCGGAAAATTTCTTTAAAAAAACGAGTATATTTCGCGTGATTCGAGCTTGAAATGTATTCAATTTCTAAAAAATCTCAAAAACCGTACCAATTTTGTCGGGTATTTAGTGGGTATTTTGCGGGTATTTAGTAGTATAATATAGCAGTTATAAACAATGCGAGAAAGTATGTGCTGTTGTAGCATCTCTAGTTGAATCTTAAAATGGAATTAGAGAAAACGGAATTATAGTTTTCGTTCTTCGCACTTGGGTAATCGCATGCACTGTGAAGAGGTATCATTTAAGGAGAGCTCTTGCTTCCAAGTGGGTCGGAGCCCGCACTCAAACGTAGGAGGACGTCCTCGTAAGCGAACAAAACCTGACGGTATAAATAAAAATATTAAAAATCTTTATTGGTATCAGGCTCGGAGGATAATGCGAGTATGCGTACACGAGAAATTCTGAGTGGGTAAAATACCCACTCGGAATTGCATCGCCCGTATTGCCGTTTACGAGATCAACTATTACAAGATCAACTCAATACTCATCACCATTGTAATGTTTATAGTGACATGGCCGACAAAATCGATTTAAAAAATTGTTAAATGAGTTTATATAAAAAATGCAAAGTGCAGCGCTGTTTTTGCATAGCAGAAATGAACTTTCCTGAAACTATATAAAATAACAATTTGATCATAAAATAATGATAAACATGAAAATTTGAAACATTTTGTTTTGTATTTTTCCCTTCATGTACAATTTCGGTGGGCGATGAAGGGGCGGGACTTGCATCCGGTTCAGCTACCCTCTCGGACTCTACACCATTCGCCGCCCCTGACTGGTTCCATCTTCCTTCCTCTTTTCGATCAGTAACACTATTTTGCCATGGATCCTACGTTTCCCCAGAAAGACAAAACACGACCGTACCTTTGAGTAGCCAGGGGCTGCAGATATATTCCAGCTTGGTCGATATAGGTGACAAGAGAGAAAAGAAAAATAAAGACCAAAAAGGAAGAATAGGCAAAAATAATGCAAAATACCAAACAGATATTTTATAAGCTAAAATGCGCAAAAACAAAAAACAAAATGGAAAGCAATTTCAACAAATCTAGAACTACAAGCAAGTGATTCCTATTGCTAAAGGCAGTAAACTCGTAACAATAATAAAAAGGCATTTGGTAAACTTCCGGGCTCTGCTTATTACTATCTGTTTGCTTTTGCCCAAGATCCTCTACTTCATTACCTACAGCCTTTTGTTTGTGGTAAAAGGCCATCCCATCTCTTACCCGGCCCTTGACCTGTTTGTTTGACTCATTACCCAGCTGCCATCCAGCGGCGCCTGAAAGACTCTAAGGCCATTCTACGAGAATGGTGACATCCCATTTTCACCATTGAAACATCCATGCTTTTCTGGGTATCGACCTCGCAGAGCATGAGACAAGCGAGGAATCGGTCACCCAAAGGATTGACAGGCTAAATGATAGCCTGATCCAAACACATATACAAGATCAAACATTCCTGCCCGAGACTGGATTCGAACACAAAGTCTAGGGTGCAACGTTTATTTTGGTTCTAAGATTCAAGTTCACGCGCTACCCACACCGCCAGGAATGAAAGAAAAGGGACTGAAAGGTGATAACGTGGCTATGGGAGAACCCCATATCACAAGCAAACATCCACGGCCGAGGCATGATTCGAACCCACAGCCTAGGTAATTGGGTTTATAGCATCTGCATCACCCAAGCCGTACACGAAATAAAGGAACGGGATGGAAGGTGATACACGATGATTGGGAAAGTCTCATAATATGCAAGCAAACATCTATGGGCGTGATGGGATTCGAACCCGCGACCCTTCAAACTCGCCAATTTGCCTTCTACAATCTCGACAACACGGGACGGCAAATAAATGTATGTATGAATATTGTATGAATGGTAAAATACTTTGAATGTAGGGTTATTTTCTTTTGATGTGGTGACTAACCTTGTCGCACGAGCTGCTGGGTGGCGAGCACAGAGCTGGCCGCCTCCGGGCGCGCTACCACCGCCATCTGGTGCTGCTCCGACGTCACCACCGACTCCAGCAGCGCCAGGTCGCTCGAGAGCGTGAACGTCGCCGAGCGGTGGGACGTCACTTCCGCACCCAGCACCTGCAACACCACTCTCACTCTCACCAACTTCTCACGCTCTCATTCAGCAGTTGTTACCCCGAGCCATCGCAGCGGGATTAAAGCGGCCTTGGGACTGAGAAAGAAGGAATTGGCACAAACAATTCACTGACTGGTACGAGTAGCATGAACTCGTCGGGAGATTGGAGATACAGATCGAGTTGGGGAGAGGATGGACGCCAAACGTAGGCCGAAAATGTGAAATTCTGATATTGGAAGGCGACTTCAAGATATTGGAAGTTTGGTAAAACCTTGGGGAAGGTTATTCAGGAAGTTGATTGGTTTTAAAGTAAGGGACACGAAAACTGCGGAAATGAGGGAGATAACATATGTCGATTGACTCTGAATCTGAACTTTCATGAACAATACTACATTTTCTTGGTGTTTGAACTTAGTGTTATTATTTAAATTAAGTCAAGAGAGAGAGGCCAACAGACAGCGACGGGAACTGCAGCTGCTGCTAGTATTGGCGATACAAACCATTGAGGGCATTTACGTGTGTGGGAACATGGGTTCAGTAGATTCGTAACACGTATGACGCTCCTTGTGGTCGGAAGAATAACGTAGTAGCTTTCAAAACTCAAGTTCGCCTATTCAACCCTGGCTGGGAGCATTGGAAGGGCGTAAAAATCTTAGTGAGTCTTATCACGCTAGAAGCAACCAATATAATCCTGGTAATTATCCAGCAATATTAAATCACATCCAACAATATCAATTCTAACTTCCGATTCGTGTTCTCCTAGCTTCTGTTTCCTGTTCTCAAGTAGTTCGTTTATCCACGCTCTCATTCTAGTGTCTATACCCGAATCTATTAATTTCTTTATAAGACGATAATGTGGAACAACAATAAAAGCTTTTACTATCTCGTCGACCCTTTTCCAATATCAATATGAAAAATACTTCTATCTGCTAGCGTTTGTCACTGAATACTGTTAGGTCTCTGCATGAAAACCGAGCTAAAATACGCGTTAAATGCTTTTTCTCTGTCGTCCGTTGTTAGCGAACACAAACAACTGGATTCTTGTCTTTACTTCCCTTCGTTCTTCGAATGTATTTAAAAAATACCGACCAGTTATAACTGCCCTCCGCATCAAGAATGTGTTTTAAATGACATTTCTCTGCCATTTTCTTTTCCTTCCTCAATGATTTTGAATAATTTCGAAATAATGTCATGATTTTCGATTTGAAGAAAACCAATTTACTTGGTGAGAACAGTGGCATTTATTAGAATATTTTTAAACGCTTCCTATATTTCTTCCTCCTCCTATTCTAAGAAACTCTCCATATTGGTAATTTTGTAAATACCTATAAATTCTCTTTCTTGTATTCCCTCGCTAGAATACCGGTGGTAATACTTTTTCTTGAAATACTTAATTGCACATCGACTAAAACGACTGTATGGTCACTTATACCTTCTATAACGTCGCACAACATGAATAAATCTTTTGACCTAATTAGGCAAATATCCAGAATCGCCTCCTGCCGGGTCGGCATGTCTACTAACTGCCCTAATTCGCTGCCGCAGACAAGTCTGTTGACTAGTTGTTGTGCTTTCTCTTCGCATACTATCCCTTTCCAATTTGCGTCTGGGAGATTTAAGTCTCCAGCAATAACTACATGACGGTTATTTATATTTTGTTCTTTCGTAGAGGGCGTATACGATTTCGTAACTATTGCCTGGTGGATGATAGCAAGCAATTATTTCTAAGATACTTCCTGAACAGAAAATTTCTACGCCCGTCATTTCAAATTATTTATCAATCCAATTTGACTTGATATTAAATGTGTTTTTCACGCAAATAAAAACACCTCCACCTCTGGTTTGCCGATCTGTCCTAAATGTGTGGTAGTCTGAAAGAAAAAGTTCCGGATTTTCTATCGCATCCGAAAGCCAAGACTGTTCGTATTATGATATCAGGAACAATGCTTCAATTAAATTCAGAAATTTGGTCTCCTTATTTATGACACTACGACAGTTCACCTGCAACAATCTAGCGAAGCCTCTCCTCGCATGCAAGTCAGTGTTCAGGACCCCTTCGTTGACTCGGTTTACTCCCCCGCCGCCGTTACACGCGTTGTACCCGTCACCTCTCCCACCGCAGTCGCACGCGTTGCCTGCGTCGCCTACCCCGCAGCAAACACCAAACGCCCTTTCTCGCAACCATCACTGCCCATGGCCATCATTGCCTCTTCCTCCAGTCGGCACTTTCCAAAATACGACCGTATTACTTGGTCGTGAAGACATCCCAGCTTTCATGCACCTTGGAAGTTGAGATGAAGGCCGTCCCGGCTTAGGTTTTCGTGCCCGAGCCAATGATTGGGATAAACGAACAGCCCATAAAATTTCTCGTATGCCCGCAGCCACAATTCACGTCCCACGTTTTATTAATGTGAATTTACTAATCATTACGGCGCATAACTCCAGATACAATTACCCTAGCATTTTTAAATTTAGATCTGATGTGATTCTGTAGTTCGACTCATTGCTTGATTATGTCATAAACGGATTGCCGTTTTCGCGTATTGGTACCTACATGAACTAGAACCACTTGTATATGATCATTTGGTTTGGCTTTATTCACTACTGAAGTCTACACTACCTAAACACTACCTGCAAAAAATGTAGGTCGGTACCTGTTTTCTTCAATACGCCGCCGCTGTGCCGCAGCATCGAGTCGCCAAGTACCTTGACATTATTATACGGAGTACCTGAATGAAGAGACTCGCTCATATTTGGCCGCTCGTTACTCTTCTTTTTTCATGTGTGACGCGGACATTTTACTCTTCCTTTCCTTTGCTGGCGTCTTCTAAATCCCTGATCCTTAACGTCAGTTCTCCAATATGCTTGTATGTCTCAGCCAAATCCGCTATCAGTCTTCTAATTCTTCGCTCTACCTCCTGTACTCATGTATCAGGATTTTGCTTCACTGCTCTTATCACAAGGAGAGTGGCCAAAATAGCTGGGCAAATTAGAGTCACGCCACCACGCCCCTTGCGCCGAAGCAACCCGACCGGGGTGGGAACGTGCAGCCCATCCCCCAACGCGCACTCGGTACACATGCCCGTGGCCTTTCACTTCGCGGAGTTACTCCGAAAGACGTCCGCACGCTGCGACTACCTTTGAGCGACTCCATTTCAATTTCCATTCCGCTTGAGGTCTGAAAAGACCCTAAACAGAGTCTAAGGGTTAAGATTTCCAGTGCCTAAGACTAACAAGTTATGGCCACAAAAGGAATGGGTGAATGAATGATATAATGAATAGGTGATTATGAATATTTAACGTGATTGAAAGTGGAGCATTGTTGGAGAGGCAGGGAGAACACTGATAAAGCATGCCACCAACGCTCCCATTCAGCTGAAAATCCACTAGGATGGGCCGATATTTGAACTGTAACCCTATAAGTGGAAGATGAGCATGGGTTGCAGGCGATGAACATCGCATATGACAGTACACTTAATGACTCACCGGGTCTGGATGCGCGAGGTAGGGCACCTGCTTCCCGTTGATGCAGTTGTCCTTCACCTTGTACACCGTCTGCTCGTCCAGCAGCGAGTAGGTCACGTCACAGCGCCCCGAAGCGTCCTTCTCCTTGGCGGACCACTTCTTCACCTTGAACTGCAACACCCAGCCGACCCCACCATTAACACTCATTTCATTAGTGGTTCCATCCTTCACCGCTTCAACCCCGCCCAGCCCTTTCATTAATTATTAGTTTCCTCAGCCACTCGCGAGCGCCACTGAGAAATGTCAGGACCCTTCAGAGACACCGATCAGCGCCACTGATTGTGGGAAAGGAAGAATTCGTGATTCAATAACGCTGTGGACGCGAGGCAGTCACCACTTAAGCATCTAAGCTAAGCAGCACTACCAAGCGGCCTAGCATGAAGGCTGCCGTTTGGAACTGCTGGCGGAAGTGGGTGTGTGCTGGTGGTAGTGGGAGTACTCCACTAACACCCACAGCAGTGCCCCTGCTCACTCGTGTGAACACCCGCATATAAAGTAGTGCTTTGCCATCAGTAGCGCCACTGAAAAGCGCCGCCGCGTCTTCCCGTATGAAGGGGCACTGAAAGTGCAATAGTTCTAAGGATTTTGGGTGAAGTAATAAATTGGCCCGATTTTTTCAGTTCTAAGAAAGTACGTCTAAGAGATTTTAGAATAGGATGTGTTGGGGTAAATGGATACGTCTTTTTGCTTCTAGAAATATGAAATATTTCAGCGCGCACGGCATCCTGCGAACGGACGGTAAAGCATTTAAGAGCAACAGTAGCAATATCGAAATGTTTGATTTGGCATGAAACTACATAATTTTACCAGTTTTTTAACAGGCAAAACCAGAATGTACGAACGAATATGACAGTTTTATTCATACAGGAAGAAATCTAACTTGAAAAAAATGTCAATTTTTACACCAAAATAACACGTTCAGTCAAGTTTGAAAATGGAATTCAATTTTGAAAATAGGACAAGGAAAGACCGCGCGCAATCCGTGGCCTCTTTGTTTGAGTGCTGCCTCGGCATTCGCCTGGTGTTGATCGGAGGAACCACGGAAAACTTCCGATCAGAGCAGCCGGCCGCTAGAATTCTTCTCCGGACAGCGGCTCAATTCGACCTAGCTTACAAGCAATTGTCGAAAGGCCTGCCACCGTCGAGACCCGAACGCTATGGCCTCCCGGTCAGAACGGCTGCAGAGGCAGCGGCAATGCCGGCTGAAAGTGAACAAGCTTAAGCGTTCGTCGTGGGAGTGGGAGTGACCTGGAAGAGGCTGGCGACGCCCTTCTTGAGGTTGACGAGTGCGGTGTCCTCGCCCTTGGCCGCCCACACGTAGGCCACGGCGCCGCGCTCCCACAGCGCCAGCAGCGGCGCCGACGGCAGCGCGTCCAGGCGCGACGAGTGCGCCACGAAGCCCTCGGGCGACGGCGCCTTGCGCGACTTGATGTGCAGCTGCGCCTCCGACACCTGCGCAACCACGCAAGAATTAACAGTATTATTGTATATCATGCATAGACACGTGATGGCAATGTATATTACACGTACATCAAAAAAAAAACGACATCGGAAATACAATAGAAGCGAACAATCGGAAGGCGACTCAAACGAAACATAAATATTTTTTTTATTTTATTTTATTCAAAGCTCAACTCTCCGTTCCGGTGGTAGACCGTCACCCTTTTCTTCAAGGATCTGATATTATTAAAATAAATAAAAGAAAACAAATAAATCCTGCAAAATTCATATATGAGATCTAGAAAACCACTTAGTAAATTTGTATGATGACTGTGGCGTAAGAGAATAGAAAATCCACACATTCGGAAGTTTTTCTCATATCGATATTAAGTTATTTACACATAAAGATGCATGATAAGATCCCAGATGACGCGCAGAAAATTAAGTCCACACACTTGCAATTAACTCTCCTGGCTCCGCGATAACTCGTAGATTATAATTATAGTGCGAATCCGTTACCATTCTTGTTGGGAATGAACATTATAACGAACGAAAGAAGGAAATTTATGTTGAAGTGTCCAATGAAATTAGAAATACATTGAGCTCCGTCCTAATTATTCGCACAGGAAATACTAGTAACAAATAGCAGTAGGATCTACCCACTGCCCCATCAACATTGGGTAGGTGCGATCAAATATGTGCTCATCAGGGCAATGGCTTCGATTGATTAATTGACTCTGATAATTTCGTGTTTCTGGACTATGGTCGAAAGTTCCGTACGTGTAGTGCATGTTGTCTGTCACGGTAGGTGTCAGTGTTCTTCGCCCGCTGGATGGTGTCCTACTCGTCGGCATGAGGGATGTTTCCCAATTCAGATATCGCGGCATTGACCAGCGGAACCACCGTCCCACACAAACCGTCCCACAAACAAGTTCTACGATCTCCACATGTGTGGTAGTGAAGTTTGAGTGTAGGTAAGAGGTGATGATAGTGTGACGTCATGGATACTCACAGCGACCACAGACACAGAGCTTTCGTATAACAAATATATTTATTAACAAGAAAACAAAACAAATATATACACTTAATAATCTACTTACACCCTAGCTCTGATAGACATACTATCCCCTGATCGCGGGAGCGATCCAAACCCGATTGAAGATGGTTTTGATTGTGGCATTCGCCACTCCTACTTTTGAAGCGCGCACAAAGCCTAGCTTCCGTGACCGGATGTCACGCTGGGACACAAAGTCCGTTCTGGCGCACCAACGGCTGGTTTGCCTCGATCGCAGGAGCAATCTTATCCGATTGAGAATCGGCGTGAATCGTGGCACTCAACCACTCTTCACCTCGGAGCACGCACACAGCATTGCTCCCCCGTGACCGCAGTCACCCAAGGACATAAAGTCCGCAGGCTTCGTCAACTAATGACTCCAGCCTCGCGAGCCTGGCTCGCATATGCACCGTCTTGGCGCCAAGTTTTGTGCACACGCACGAGATTCTCCCACCGTCTCCAGAACCTGCCTACTGGCTCCGTACACTCTGTTATATAGGCGAGGCCCACGTGACCTCCTACGTCACGCCACCCCCTCGCTTGTTATAACAGTGAAAAGCTTCTATAAGCCGGAAGACACCCAAAGCCTTGTGTCTCCCGTCTCCGCGTTCTTCCCTTTACGGAAAAACCCTTCTTCCTGTGGCGAGACTAATCCGCAACCAAGCGTCCCCAAATAGATGCCATGAGGCACGCTGGCTAATACGTTACAATAGCACAAAAGATAAAAGACCCCGCGAATTCAGCGGCCCGTTTGTTAGGATACTGCTCCGGCATTCGCCTGATATTAATAGCATAAACCACGGAAAACTATCGCTAGAATTCAACAGCGCACTCAGAGCAGCCGGCTGCTGGCATTCTGCTCCAGACAGCAGCAGAATTCGACATAGCTATTTAGCTAGATTCGAAAATCAACCACCGTTGGGACTCAAACCCTGCATTTTTAGAGCATTTTTCTATCGCGAGAGGTGGCGGTGATCTTTCTCCGCTGGATTGTTTCCCCAATCGGCTATCTCCCATCAGCGCGGCGTCGTCTCAGCCGGGACAAGCTCTAAGCCCCCGACTGGTCCCCCGACATGTATGGTAGTGTAGTGCATGTTAGTGTAAGGGATGAGGATAAGACAAGGAAGAGGAACGAAAGATCGAGCGCGATTCGTGGCCCGTTTTTAAGGGTTAGCTTTAGCCTTGTGGTGATCGATAGGATCGATAGGAAAACTACCTATCATAGCAGCCTGTCACTCCAGACAGCGGCTGTTTGACCTAGCAGTCTAGCTAGTGCCGAAAGACTTTCTACAGTCGGGATCCAAATACAAGGAGTTCTTGGCGAGAAGCACTGCAGTCGCATCAGTGGTGGGGAGGAGATCGTGATAAGGAAGAAATAAAAAATCTCCAGAGAGACGAAGGGCCACTCGCCTGAATCCAGAGCAGGCGCACGCCCTGCTGCAGCGGGTCCACCCACGCGGTGCCGGCGTCGACGCGGGCGGTGAGCTGGAAGCCCACGTCGGCGCCCGGCCGCGCGCCGGCCTCGTTCAGCAGCACCGTCGCCTCGAGGGCGAAGCGCTGGCCGGCGCCCGGCGCCGCGAACACGCCCAGCGGCGCCGCCTCCAGCTCCGCCCGCAGCGCCCGCTCCGCCTCGCGCCGCTCCGACGCCGACGCCGTCGCCGACGCCTCCTCCGACCCCGACCCGGAACCTGCTGCGCACACACAGCACACGTCAGCGCCTCGCGCCAAGCCCGCCACCGCCACCGGCACACGCCTGAACCATTCTCATCTCCCTCCCCTCCGCGACTAGCACACAAAGCACACGACACATTCATTCTCATCTCTCTCCTCTCCGCGACTAGCACACAAAGCATACACCACATTCATTCTCATCTCTCTCACCTCCGCGACTAGAACACAAATCGCACGCCACATGCATTCACATCTCTTCCTTATGCGACTAGAACACAAAGTATATATCAGATTCAAACAGATCTGTCTTCCGTCCGCCTGTAGCACACCAGATTCATATCACGACTCGTCATGCATCACATCTCTCTCCTCTACGCGTGCAGCACACAAAACTCACGCCAGTAGTTTTCACACCTATCCATGCTGCGTCTAGAACACAAAGCACACGCCACATCCATTCACATCTCTCTCCCTTCCGCGTCTAGCACGCAAAGCACGCCAGATTCAATCACATCTGCCTTCCCTCCGCGTGTACCATACCAGCTTTACATCACGCCTCGTCGCGCATCACACCAGGTTCATGCACATATCTGCCTTGCCTCCGCGTCTAGCACATAAAATATGTCAGTATCATTCAGATTTATCTCTCCTCTGCGTCTAGCATTTGAAGTACACGTCAGCGATACACATCAAAAAATCCTCGGTGCCTAGCACACAAAGCACACGTGAACGTAATTCATAGCTAGCCCCTTTCGCGCCCAGCACACACATCACACACCAGCATCATTCATATCTCTTTCCTCTGATTTTAGCACACAAAGCACGCCTCAGAGTCAGTTATAATTCACTTTTTCATGTCTAGCACACTGATGATACGTCAGTAATATTCCCACTCTTCAAATCTAGAATACTTAACACACGTCAGCATAATTCATAGCTAGCTCTTCTGCTTCCGACTTTTCTGCACACTACATCTAATCACTCGTAAATCACTTCCTATCCGTACCCAGCACACATGTCATACATCAGTACCAGTTACATATCTCTCCATTCTGCGTCAAGCATAGAAAACACGCATCAACATTATTCATAAGTATCTTCTCCTCTCTACCACACGAAGTATACGAAAAAATAATTCATTACTCTCCCCCCTGCATTTAGCACACAAACCACACCTCAATGTCATTCATAACATTTCCATTCTCACATAGTGCACGTCAGAATCATTCCTGATTCTCTCCTTTCTACGTCTAGCACATAAAGCACGCCTCAGCATCATTCATAGCTCTCTCTCCCACGCATAACATACAGTCAGCATTGTGTATAAATCGCTCCCTTTTGCGTTTAGCTCACAAAGCACACCTCAGCATAATTCATCAATCCCTCCTCCCTCCTCAGAATGTCTAACTAAATGTGATGGCTCTGCTGCCAAGGAAACTTCACGCGGAGATCGCATTAACAATCGTATTTCAATGCAATTCCGGTATCGAGGTAACACCAAGGGGGGAGCGGTTGATCCCTGAATAAATTGCAAAATGATTGAAGAAACTATTATATATTTAAGAAATTATGCTACACATGACGTATGTGAGGAGTGCATCTAGCAAATAAAACCCTCCCGCAATAAAACTGCTAGATCAAGTTGCCAATAGCAGGGATTTTCATCGTTTTCTCGCAAAGGGTTCAATGTGCCAATGCCAATTGCAGAGCTAATGGATTTCCTTAGCCATGTCCTTGTCTTTTCTTTGTAATATGTGCCAATTGCGCTTATGTAAAGTCCAGAATTGTACTAATGAGCAGTTTTTCTCACTTTCCTAAAGAAATGCTTTTTTTGGCTTTTAGATTGTATGTCCTCGTCACTCTACAGTAGAAGAATATAAACAATTTACCATTAAATATAACTTAAATCACACATTTATTCTAAAGGCAATATCTCTCGTAAATAAATCCGCATTTTAATCATTTCTTAGATACACATTATTTTATTTATATTAATCACATTATTTACAAATTTAGGACACAGACCTCGCAATCATTAGATTTTTCGCTTTAATTCATATCTTAAAAGTTGTAAAATGTGCGGAGTCCTGTTAGAAAAACGATACATAAATATGACATTGAATACGCTTAAAGAACAGTCGTGTCAAGAAATATCAATTTTTGTTAAAAGTGAGTAGCCTAATATTTTCTCTCACCTACATTCCTACTGTCAACATCAAACATGACTTCGCAGAGCGAATTACCAATTAATGGCAAATATTTGTTGGACGTCATCGTTTTAGGTAAAAGGATTATTTAATACGGTTTATAAAGAATGGTGAATTACAAGGGAATGATTAATTACAAGGGACTTACGTGAAGAGACCAGCACAAATTCCTCCGAGTACCCCACAAGCGCTGCCAGCAGCACAACCAGTGGGAGCAAGCGGAACCACGGAGACAACATGATGACTCACTCGGATTTCGAAATTAAAGTTTTTTGAAGAATAATTTTTTCACAAAAGTGCACTGTTCGTAAATAATGTTAATTAATTGTTTTTTCTTCTGTAACTTAAATTATAAGCAGATGATTTGGCACAATTCACTTATTAATGTTGCCACATATGTTCACAAAATATAGGTAACTGTCACAGATGAGTTTCAGAAGTCAGCTTTAATTTCACTTCCTCCTCACATTTATCGGATAGATACGATTTTCACTACGACCACTCCAAAGTCCACCAGAATTATTTAACTTTGTATATGAAAAGTTTACCTTCACTAATAGTTTGAAGAAAAAGTGAACGCACAGTTTCGACAAGGACGATGTATTTTTTTTTTTTTTTTGAAAAGTACAAAATATTAAATAACTTGCCACGTTTACAGATAGGACTGTATTACGTAACCATAAAAAAATACAAGCGATAAGAACTGCCATACAATGAACAACAAACAGTCAATTTGCGGAATCCGTCCGTCTCTCTCTCTCATTGAAATAAAAATCAGCTAGAATTGTCTACCGCAGTATCAATACATCAGCCTTTTGGTACGAGTACAAAAGCGGAAAAAACGAAGGACACCTAACGAGAAAATTCAACCACTAGGAACCCGTACGAGTACCTCGTCAAGAGGACTTCGCCCACTCCCAACGCTGTCGCAAGAACGAGCACTCGGTCCCAAATGTACTGACAAGCACTCCGTTCACTGGCGCAATGACGAGCACCCGGGCCAGTTGCCAGTCCCAAATTTCACTGCCGGGAATCACTGCACGATGAAGGAGTATTACAGCTCGGAAGACGAACACTCATTCCCTTTTTATTAACGGAACACAGGGTACGAAGAACGTCGAGCGAAGAACACAAAATCCGACGACAAGCCCTTGGTCATCAGATTTTACTGAAAACTCAAACCGGGAGAACGGCCCAAAAACGTCAATCTTGGAACATACGCATGAAGACAAGCACTCACTCTCTAGGATTGTGGATGAAGGTCCGAAGCACTGATTCTGGAGTCTTACACAGTCTGAAGAAAGATTAGCGTGAGACACACACGGGAAGACGAGCACTCAGTCCCAACTCTTTCCCACGGAGCACACAGACCTAAGGATAATGAGCGGGGATTGTAAAAAAAGAAGACGAGCACTCAGTTCCAAGATTGGCCAACAGAGCACACAGACCTAAGGACGACGAAGGCGAGCGCCGGGTCGCACGTATTCCGCTCGGCGCACAGAGGCGGTGGGCGAGTGCGCAGGCGTCGTCGCCGTCGCCCGCTCCCCGTGCACGAGGCGCCGGGGCGGGTCAGGGCCGGGGGCGGCTGACGAGTCGGCTTTTCTGCCGAGCACGCGGGCCGCGTGGCCGTCTGCCACTGGACGAGCGCCGGCGGACGTCGCACGCCCGTCCACGGTTCGCCACGCGCCGCGATGGCTATCTGCGCGCGGACGGAAACCGGGACGAGGACGCCGATGTGCCGACACCGGCACCCACACGACACGAAAGCGCGCGCCGGAGCACGCTGGGGATGGTACACGTGGCCTCAGGCGGTTCGCTCAACCTAACCACAAACTCAGTTCACGCCCTCTTGAGATTATTGTCTTGACTTCAAACCGAAACGTTGCTTTTCTCAGTTCGTCTCAATAGATCAACTTCGAGATGATGCAAAATTATGAATTGTAGGTCCTTGGTTTTGACGTGGCCTCACTCGGTTCGCGAAAGTTGTTGGGAAGAGTTCACGCACTCATGCGTTTTTCTGTCTTAAACCGAAGCGTTTCTACATCTCAATAAATTTACACGGAGATGATGCAAAATTAAGGTATGTAGATTTTAACTCGGTCTCGCAATTACGCGCGTCTCGTAATTCGTGGTATTCGCGAAATCAAACTGCAACCTATGTTAACGAACACATGACTACATACCAACAGTTTCTCAATGTCTTTTCAATCAAACGTACCTACACTCAATTCAACTCAATAGCTCCAGAAAATAAGGAACGGTCACATATGAGAAAGGAACACACATGAGAAATTCCCAGAGATTCATAGTAAAGAGAAACTGATGTTGCAAAGCCTTAGAACATCGTAGCCCAGCGAAATACATTTGAACTTTTGTCACAGGAAAAAAGGTACAAAAATAACAGAAGCTAATTTTAATTTTAGCTTTTAATATTTAAGAAGTTTTTTATTTTTAATTATAATTTTAAGAATTAATGTCCGTAATAAAGCTTAAGAAAAAACATCTTCCTCATAAATATTCACAAATGACTAGTTGACACAAAGCATTGTAATAACATGAATATGATAACATCTCAAAAAAGCCTTCACAAACCGTACCATGCTACATATATTCCAAATGACGATGGCCTTGCAGTGTGCATACCGTTGCCACAATAAAAACGTAACATATATTGCATAACACTGAGTTCGCGAATGTTGCTTATGTGAAATAACCGCGCGGAAACTACAACCACAGCACCACTTTGTTATATTGAATGTCTACTTAAACGAACTAACTGAATTATTCGCATAAAAGTATTTATTTTATGTCAATGTAAAACCAATGCGAATATGACGCGTCTAATTAGAGTTCTTAAAAAAACACACGTCACGAAGTTTGTTTCGCACAACACAGAAGAATAAAGCGCTGTTAACACACTGCCGTAAAAACACGTAAACCACCACACCTATTCTACAAATGCTTATGGCCAGCTAGCAAGCAAAATGTTAAGTGTCCCGAATGAGGGCGGTGTTCGCGTGCACCCAAGGCTGCATCACCGCGGCTGAGGCTCTTCTGGGCCTCTCATCTGCACGGGAATGAGCAACTCGAAGGGAGAGTTCCGCTGCAAATCTCTTCCTACCTGACCGGGATTTTACGCCGAATAACAGTATCGTTACGCTCTCTCCCACGTGAAAATAAGTAGCATCTAACTGTCGGTTCTCGTTGTCAGATTGCAAGAACAATATCGCTTAGGAAGATGCATGACATCTTTGGTGTAAAACATTGAACAGTTCAGTAATTGCCCAGTCCAAAACAAATTACTTGCGATATTTTAATTTATTTAAATACGAACAAATAATACAAATACGTTCAAAAGGTTTTGTTTAATAGCAATAAGACTGTTCGTAAAACCAGTTTTTGTTTATTTGCAATAATTAATCTGAAAATTAAAGGTGTGCATTAGAATTTCAACACACTACACTACACGTACACAATTAAACGTCATGCACTACTTTCGATTACAAATTTCGAAAGTACCACAATTTTTATGGAAAGTGTTACACTATATTTCGTAGCAAGAATTAGAAGAACTATAATAAGTATTTAAGTCTTGGGATAAACATAAAAAGACTTGAGGTGTGAACCAACAAAATAAATCTTGCAAAAATAATGACTCGCGAAAAAGGTGTCAAATCTAACAAAACGTCTCAAACAACCAACCGCTCTACCAGTGTCGGTGACACAATGGGACGCGTGTAACAGATGAAACACCAAGATATTTTGGATGATATGAATTGTCTACGGACACTATCCGTCAAGAAATAACAGTTGATTAAAACATAAAAGAAATCGAATAACAGATAAAGTTTAGTTGCACCAGATTACGCTTGTGTGAAATACTAATGTTCTATTCAAGATCTAACAAGTGAAATTCAGTACGAAAACGTCACTAAAGTGATTACGTATATTTGTTTTTACTTTTTTAATTAAAAAAGTATAAAAATATTTTTAATAAAGCTACAAATATCGCAAAATTATGTCTCCTATACGCGACACTGCACCGACGTTACTCTACTTTTTTAATGAATTTTGCACACCGAGCTCAAATGGTTTGCATCACTGCCCAATATTGTTCTAACCCACTTGAAGGAGCTTTCTTTGCGTCACTCGTCCACATCAAACAACACACTATCGCCACGCGCCAACAGAACTGACGACCACATCGAACGTCGACCTTCATCGATAACCCCGAGAGTTCAGACACGGCGTTTTGTACAGTAGCGAAGCGTTAATAACACTCGACCACTGGAAAGATATTTCGAATGGAGGAATTTCACGTTATTTGCGTTCCCCCTTCTCTCTCACAGACAAACCTTCATTACCGTCGTTTCAAAAGCACTTTAAGCACGTTAATGATTACTCACATTGTCTCGGAACAGTTTAAATGAAATCAGTTATCATCGATAGTTATTAAGACTTTCTCATGAAGAAATGTAAAGAATAAATTGCATGACCCTTATAAAGTACTAAGGAGAGAAATTCATAAAATAATTTTATGAAAAATATTTTTCGATACTTTTACAATAGTATTAGCTGACATATCAAAATATTTTTAAGGATATGAAAAAATCACCTTTCTATCGCAAATTCGGAAAACTCCTCAATATTTGGTATTTATAATGCAATATAATTCAAATTAAGGATGTACAAAAAAGTAATAATTATGAAACGTCAAAAACACAGAAATGTGAATACAAGTTATAGAAAAAATATATTTAATTAGTTATATATGTACTGTTAAAGGTAAAATGCAAACACCAGAACGAAACCAACAAATCTATCACTCCCGAAGTCGATGCATTGCGAAGTCTCGAGATGAACCAGAGGGTTTCACAGTAGCTAGATCACGTGACCAGTATGCGCGAATTATTCGTTCAGGCGGCCATACCATCTCGAAACTTCCTGAAATCAACTGTCAGCCTAAGGATCGCAATTGTATTCTCATTACCCTTCTTATTTATTACAATTTTTGCAGATTCTTTGCAAAGGGGGGTCTTTGCAAAGGGGAGTCCAAAGCTTCCGGGAGTTACTGTCTGCAGCGAAAAGCTGCTGCTGCTATTACGAAACCAACGATTGTTTTTCTTTTTACGAAATTAAATAAATCAATAAACAAAAATAATAATTGAAAGTAAGATTTGCGGATGTTCAGTGTACTCATCTAACATCAGGATTGACAGAATAATATATTTTTGTCAAAGTTAAGAAGTGATCTAATTTTAATGAAGTATTATTATCACAATATGTTAGTGAATAATACTCATTTAACAATCGGATTATGCACTGGACATCTCTATCAAGAAACCTTGAAGTTATTTTACTCGAAAACTGTATTACAACTCTGCTTCAGTAAACTGAATTACTTAGAGGTTAAACGAGTATTTTGTAAGTGCAACAAAAAGTATTGGTGTCATAATACAAGTTAACAATGCCCGATTTTTCAACCCAAAATTTTATTTTTAAAAGCAAACAACATACGTTTCAAATGGTAAATTTGGTCAGTGTCTCCACGACAATCAATATTTCTGACAATAAAAGAATTCTTACCTCTTAAATTTTAGGAGTATAATAAAATATTGCGTTACACTCGATCTATATCAAGACTTGTCACTATTGTGACACTTCGCGGGATGCTCAGACGTTTTCACTTAAAAAAATCGGAGGATCGAGGAGGCAGATTAAGTGATCTGTCACGGGATGCGTCATTTGACATGTGACTCGCGGAGTAACCCGTCACTTAACTGGATGTGTCACTAGTTATGCCAGTTAATGCTTTATTTGCCGTGTGATTCACTTTACCGTGCCGTGTGTATCACTCGTCGCAAAACTCGACAGATCATTCGGAATCTACATCGTCACTGCATTCACCAGTTAATGTTCCATTGGGGGGTAATTCGTACCATCCGTCACATGACCCGCCCCGTCCCTCGTCACCTTACCCGGCGTATCTCTCGTGAAATCGACGCGTTGCTCTAAACGCCAGTTAACGTTTCTCTTGCCGTGTAACTCGTATCACCACTCGCCGTGCCACTCGTTGCGCACGACGTTTCCCTCGCCAGTGACTCGCGCCGCCCGTCGCGTCACCGGTCGCGATCCGCGCGTCACAGCGTGCGCAATGGAGCGGAGCGTCCTTGGCATCGGAGACAGCTGACGGCGCTCAGCTGCGCGCGCAGAAGCGAACGACCTCCTCTGCGCGGCGCCGCCCACAGGCCGTTGATCCCCTCGCCCCGCCCCCGCCAGGGGGCTCCCAACCACGGCCCGCGGGCCGGGTGCAGCGCGCGAGGCGAGGAGGGCCTAGCTCTCGGGCCAGGGCGCCCCGGAAAGTGGCAAAAATCACAGGCAAAGCACGTATTCAATATGCTGCGCGTTGCTTTCGAGTGAGGGTGGCCGGAAGCGGGCGGTGGCAAACTTCAGAGGCACATAGCGGCCGAACAGTGAGAAAAACGGCAGTTTTATAATCTTATATTCTGACAGGGATCAAGAATACTGGTAGTACCTG